TTGCATTTATAGAATTATTATCATATGAAGTAAAACATACAAAACCTTTTAGAAACTGGAACAATTTCATATAGTAACATATGTATTTAACCCATACAAATGTGTATGTTTATGCGTGTAATAAATGTTTGTACATACAGTATATGTCATGTAGGCCTACATGTATATCCATCCTAAAACCCATCAGTAGGTGTTGATATTATATAAGTAAATATGAAAGATGTATTTAAAAATATTGCAGAAATATTTACAAGAAAATATTATTTCAGTCTTTCTACTTAAAAAATGTTAAGTTTAATTCAATATGTTTTTTGATATTTCTTTGTAATTATTTGTGAAATTTACTGACTGTAAATAGTTCTAAAGTAAATCATACACCTTTTTTTCCCCCTAGTGTATAAGGATGAGCTAAATTTCTTTGGAAAGTTTGCATTTAAATCGAAGGTTTAATAAATTGTTTTATGTATATGAGGGCCCAATACGTCTTTAAAAATATAATTGTTACTTTTAAGCTTGCAAATTTGTTACGTCTGAGACATGATTAAATTTAATAACAGGGAGGCTGAAACATAACATGTTTACAGGTTGTTAGGTCAAAGGTGCTTTGATAAGATTATAATCAAAGACCTTTGTTGGTATAATTTAAAATTAACTTTGAAGGGTGTGCACACGCTTCAGCAACAACCTCATATTGGATTAATAATATTTTGGTGTAGTGGGAAGCATCAAAGCTTGCACCTGTTTTTCCAGACACTGTTTTGAAAGCGAATGTAGCTACCATTCAACAATGCATCTACAGTATACAATGCAGGCCAGTCCACCTGGTTAGCACATGTTACCAGTGGTCCCTGAGCGGTTGTTCCTCTGACATGCAAGTGACCTAAAGACCTAGTATATGCATGATATCCTTGCAAATACCTTTCAGGTGTTGTAAAAAGCTTTGTTTCAGGCAATTGAGATCTTCATGATACTTGTAGGAAAACACTGATGTTCATTCAACATATTAATTTTACTTTTTAAAAATCTATTCTAAAGCATATCAAGCTGTAAATTTAAAATAAAATAACAATAAATACAAAAGCATTAATTATTAGTGAGTATAACATGGTTTACTTATTATTTAACAGGTTTTGTTCACAGGTAACACATTTTTGAATACATTTTTTCAAGTATTACCCACAGCACCTGTGGCAGATGTAAAAAACTAGCACCTGTTTTCTCTATCCTCTGTGATTTACAACATTTTACCAGCTTCTACATTTCCATTTTTTTGTCCTCTTTAGACACTGAAATGTGTTTTTCATTTCCCCCTGCATTAATCAAAAAGTGTCAGTCGCACATTTACGCTTCTCCCAAATCAGTTTCCTTGCTTTATTCATTGAAAATGAAACAGTAAATCTGGTCTTGTATCAGCAAATGATCTATACTAACCAGACTTCCCTGTTTGACCATCTGGTCGAAGACTGACCTGTAGAATACAACTAATAATAAACAACATTCCCTAGACAATGAAGTTCTGTTTATTTTCACTGGTGGTCTGACCACATATGTTAAAATGATCCTATAATGGGTAAAGTAGCTTTTATTTACATTGTCATATTTTTAATAAAGGAATATGTTGTTACATAATTTTTTGTCAAAGCATGCAAAAAAAACTTTGAGTCCTGAAATGAATAGCTAATCACATCTGTTATTGCCATGACTCTTGAAATATTTCCAACCTTATCTCAGCTTTAATGAAAAAAAGGCAGTTGATTGACATTTAAAGGGCATATTTGAAAAAGAAAAGAGTTGGAAGGCAAGCACTGACAAGACAGATATAAAGATGTGTCATTTTAGTCAGTCTTTCTGTAGAGCAGACTATGTGGTTTTCAGCGTGTCACTATTAAACTGTAGCATTCAGGTTTATAGGCCATTTCCCTGAATTCTCAACTAGCTTTTGTCTTGCCATTTTGGCCTAGATCCCAAGGGCCTCCACATGGACAGGACTGTATAATAAACAGCCTCCCAACCTGCTGTGTGCAGCTGGACTATTGCTAAAATCCAAACAAAGTGTGGAAAACCATGGACACCTCAACCTACATACAGTTACTTTATACTACAGCCAATAAAGAAATTGTTAAAAAAAAACATTAAAGATAAGATGTCCAATTTCTGCACCAGTAGTTACGGAAGCTTATTTTTGCCATGGGATAAATCTCACAATTCTGACTTTTTTCCCCTCATAATTCTGAGATTTATCTGTCACTGATACGCCAGGCTCCACCTCCACTCTCCTTCAGTGATCACAATCCCCTGAATTCTAATTTCAGGATCACTAACTAGAACCCAGAATCCTTCATGCTCCACACCTTATCCACATCAGCAATCATGCACCTGAGAACACTTACCTCATGATTGCATCGCTACAAAAGAGACATTCACCAGTTCACTTATGGCGCTTTTCCACTGCATGGTACGGCACGGTACAGCTCGGTACGGTTCACTTTTGGGGGGTTTTCCACTGGGTACAGTACCTGGTACTTTTTTTAGTACCACCTCGGTTGAGGTTCCAAGTGAACCGTACCGTTACCAAAACGTGACGTGTAAACTCTGCTGATCACGGATTGGCCGGAGAGAATCGTCACTACCTGCGTCACTGAACTTGCGACACAAAAGAACCGCTAGATTTAAATCAGCACAGCCACGAAGGATCGAACGCAACTGTTTTGAACAAGCGCACCTTTTTTAACAACCAAAAAGTGGCTGTTTCGTTGTCTGTTGAGGAAGTACAGATGTTCCTCTCGTTGATCGCAGAGGAGCGGATCCAGCGAGCTTGATGGGGCGACACGGAATGAAAAAGTTTTTCAGGAGTCGCGGCAATAGTGGCTGCGCAACTATAACGACATGTGAATAATCCCGCCCACTCTAAAGCGGTACTGAACTGCAGTGGAAACACAAACCGAGCCGAGCCGTGCCGAGTCGTACCACGCAGTGGAAAAGCACCATTATTGTCTGGTCACCATTTGGGCATTGACTGTTACCTCTGCATACTCACCTCTTTAGATATTGCCATTGGCACTCAACATTTGTCAGTAAACTGCTTTGGGTTCAAACACTTATTTTCTGTCTCGTGTTACAAGATCTCACAATTCAGACCTTTTTTGTTTTTTTGCAATAAGTCAGAATTGTGAGATAACCTGCAATTTTAAGAAGAAAAGCCCAAATTGTTAGATATAGCATATTACCCTTTTTTTTGGCGTACCAAAAGTGCAAAACATGACTTTACTGGACTTGTAAGTAATGGTTACTTGAACATTTCCCCCACTCACACCATTGGTTGAGTCAGTGTTGCTGTGTTGGCTGGTCAGAACACTCAAACAAGTGCCACAGAGCTACTCATTTCTTTCTGGAAATCCACCTGAAAATACACTAATTTTACTTGTTTATCCAGAATAAGCAGAGAGAAGACATTAAGCAATTCTTGTTGCATTGACACAATGTATTTACAGTCTAAAGTAAGAAAAAGACTAAACTGTTCTGATGTTCCTCAAATGCTCTTATAATGCATTTCAGCTGAGTCTATATTTATCCAGCTAAACTGTAGGAAACAGCGTGAAAACACTGCGTATCTAAGTCGCGTAATCAAGCTTTACACAAATGATTCACAGACAAATGCACATCACTCCTTTAGTCTGCACACTTATCTGTTAAACAGAGCTGGTTTAAGAAATATTAATCATACCTTTGAGATTAATACTGTTAATCTTGCCCAGAATAAAAAAAATGAATAAATCTGAAATGGACCGAGCACATGTAGTCTTTCCACAAACAAGGTAAGACGATCTCTTCACTGACACATCTGTCTTCAGCAGGCAGGAAAGAACTTCTGTGCTGAACTAGCCCTTCATAACAGTCTTTGAATCTCTATATGAGACTTTCTTGTTCAATTTGGCAAACATAGTATGAGGGCAAACTTGAGTTTACTCGCAAACGCATTTTGCCCCACTTTTGTTAATGAACTGCTTCCTGCAATAG